ATTCCCAATCTATTAAAAGGTGGCATCTATGTTACAGAATTTTAATGAGTATTATGTATGATTACATATGTCACCTACCACACTGTCTTACACTAGTAAAATGTGAGATTATTGGTTTCCTTTCCCTCCTTTCAATTCAGCAGTATTCTTTCTGCTTACAGATAACAAAGAAAGCAAAATTGCTAGAACTGATTATAATTAATGTAACTTTTAACCATTGTAGACTTATTTAAATTATCAAAAAAGATCATTTCTACAATTTCAAGGTAGATACTTCAACAAAAAGAGAACTGGTATAGTGGGGCCAAGATACCTAAGTGAGTGCTTGCAGCTCACTTAGAACATAGAGCATGAAGGCAAGACCAGCTCTACTGTACAGCAATAGGAGTGTGCAACAAATGAAATCCTTGATTTTGTTCCCATGATGGCAGAACTTGTACGATCAAAGGTGTCATTCAATTAGGCAAAGATATAAATTTAAAAAAAAAAAACAGCATAACAGGCATCAGGAGTAGAAGACGGAGAGGTGGCTGCTTGCTGATTGTCTTTTTCAGTCACTCACACACTGTTGGCTATCTGCCACAACAATGGTTTTATGGCAGTGACATTTTTTTTTCTCAGTCTCTTCTCCAGACTTTATCTTCCATTCACCTCATGAATAATCTCTCTAGAGTTTGACCTTGGCTGGCTTCTCTTCTCACTTTATATAGCCTTTTTAAGGGCTTCATCCATCACAGAAATGCATCCAATTCTCTATCACCACTTCTGATTTTCCCCCCAAGCTCCAGACCCAAAAGTACGCAACCACTATCTGCTAGTCACTGCCACCCAGATGTTTTGCAGAAATCTCTAACTTAATATGACATTTATTAAATGCATTACTTACTCCTCAGTGTCTCTTTCACTATTCCCTGCCATGGTTCATAGCACCAATCCTCTTCCAGAGAGGAAAATACAAAACCAAGGAATCACTGGATATGGTATTACTTTGAAGAAACAGCTGAACACATGCTCTTCCTCTTCCATGAACAAACAGAACACATGCTCTTCCTCTTCTTAAAACCACCAGCAATTCCTCTTTATCATGGTTGTGAAATATAAGTTCTACTTTTGATAAGGACAGAAATTATTCTTATGAACTCATCCATGTTAAATTGTGCACTCCTTTGAGATTTCAGAGCTGGACATCTGTCTCTTTTCCCCCAGACTGCTGGCACATTACAGTGAATACAACTGATCTTCAGATAGTGGATGTGGAATGGATACAGGAATTAATGACTACAGAAAAATAAATGCAGTGAAAACAGATATAAATAAATAGCTCTGAGTGTATATGGAAAAAGTGATTTCCAGATGGAGAAAGCAAGGAACAATTCATGTAGCAAGTAGAATTTAATCTGTTTTAAAAGAAGGAGATTCTAGTCAGGGGCACTGCATGAGGAAAAAGGAGAGGAGAAAATGAGTGCATTTGTATGGGAAGAAAACTGAAAAAGCACACAAGGTTAAAGACCTTGACTGCAGAGTAAATAGATCAACACATTTAAACTGTAAATATATTACACTTATTCATGTAAAATTGTTAATGTTATTATTTTAATCATCTATGCAATTTTAATTGTCTCATACTATGGAGAATTACAAAGAAAACATAAAATGAGCCCTTGTATCCTTACTAGCCCTAACAAGTATCAGTCTATGTTCTATTTAATCTATACCCACTCACTACCCCAAAATTATTTTGAGACAAATCACAGAGATCATAAAATTTTATTTGCAAATATTTCTGTTTATATTGCTAAATCATAAGACTTTCTCAGCAAGTATAACTACTGTTCCATTATCAAGCTTTAAAAAATAATAATTCACTGATATCATCAGTATTATGAGTTCAGAAATGTCTGATTTTCTCACAGTTTGTTGTACAACTCATTTGATGAACAGAATTCAACTAAGGTCCATGCAGGGTTGGTGAAGCTCTAAAATCAATCTGCCTCTTCCTCTCCTTACCCTTCCCTCTCTCTCCCTTCCTCTTCTTCTCCTTTCACCCTCCTTCCTTTTCTCAAGTTCTTCCTTACTCTTAATCACTTTATTATACAATAAAACATATATAATAAACCATATACAAAAAAATCCACTCTAAACATATGTATGAGTTAATGAATTACTTTGACGCAAACATCTTGGTAAGCACCAGTCAGGTCCAGGAATAGCACTTTGCCAATCACCCTTGAAGGCCTTCCATGTGTCCCATGTCAATCACACTTTCTTTACTTCTCTGTCCACAGAAGTAGTGACTATCTATACTTTCATAGTAAAATCACTTCTTTGTTTTCATTGATCATTTTTATCACCTATGTGTATATCCTTAGATGTTATAGTATCATCCATTTTTTTAAATGTCTTATATGCTTCTTTTAATGTCATGTTTCTTAAGACATTCCTCCTCCACGCCTTTCCTTTTCTTACACGTTGAATCACCCAGCATATTTGGCCTGTAGAGTTTCACACAGTCTGGATTTTGCCAGCTGCAAACTCATAGGGTTCCTCAATATATTCTTATATTCTTTAGATTTCTGGCAAAATATCAGCAGTATCTAAAGACTTGATCAATACATTTGACAAGATTATAGCTAACACTGTGTTCTTCTATTAGAAGAAAAATATCTAGTGGTTTATCATTTTGTGACATTAACAATCATTGATGCTTAATGCTTAGATTTATTAACCAACTGGGACTTGCAAAGTGGTGTTTCAAATCTATGATTTCTCCTTCATTTATTAGTAAGATGCTTATATAAAACATACTTTTCTGCACCATTTCATTACAAATGGTATATTTCTTCCAAGAAAATCAGAAGGAATATTAAATTATTTCTCTTTGTTTACTAGGTTTCCAAATAATAAACTGATTTCCTGTCAGTGTTCAAATGCAAGTAATGAAAATTTTTACAAATATCATTATAAACTTATGAATTAGAACTTACTTCATTGAATTAAAACCATTGCAAGCACTATATTTATTCAAGTTCAAATTGCACACCTTTGGCTAATAGTTAACACTTTCTTTAAGTTAATTCCTAAGTTGTTTCATTAACACGTAAGAGAATTTAAGTTTTTTCAGCTATGATTGTGGAATTGTCTATTTCTCTCTTGAATTCTGTTAACTCTTGATTCATGTATTATAAGGCATTTTTAAAAGGCACATTTACTGTTACTATTTTTATGCCTCCAACAAAGTGACCTTTTTACTATTGCAGAATGTCCTCTTTATCTTTGGTAATCCTCATTGTCTTAGAGTCTACTTTATCTGATATTTGTATAGCTACTTTAACCTTTTTATTTTATTCATTATTTATTTTTTACTTTAAAAAGTTTTTTCCTTTTTACTTCCTACCAGTCATCAGGCATTATGTATGGTGTGTTTGTGTGTGTGACCATTTGTGCACCCTTCTGCTGGGGTAGGTGGGTAAGGGAGTTTTGGGGAATAGAGTATTCTATCAATTCAATAGAATGGAACATACTTATATAGGTACACACACACACACACACACACACTCTCTCTCTCTCTCTCTCTCTCTCTCTCTCTCTCTCTCTCTCTCCTTAGTTTACCTGCATTTCTGAAACAATATTTTCTTCATTGTAAGTTTTCAGTGAGTTATGTCATTTCTGGACTTTTCTAATTCTATTTATTTATGTTATTCTTTCAATTTTGTTGTGATTTCTCTTAATGTCTTTTAGCTCATTTTGAAGTAGGTAATAATACACACTTCTGACATACCTTCTTTTTCTGCATAGATGTTATTCTGTCTACTTTTTCTTGTAGCTCCGAATAGGATTTTACCTTGGGTTTTTGTTTGCTTGCTTGCTTGCTTGCTTGTTTTTGCTGTTGTTGATTATTTTTTTATGTCAAATTATTTTTTTTTTCCTGGACTTTAGAATATGTCAGGATTTTCTAACTTCACAAAGATTCCTCTCCAAATCTATGGTGGCTCTGCCATGGGATGTCCTGACTATTCCCTTCCTCCATTTTTTGCAAGTCCTTTCTTTTTCCTTCCTCTACATTGTCCTAATCTAATTCATTTTCTCCTTTTCCTGAATGATGAGGATCAAACTTAGGGCCTTACGTAGCTGCTTCTCTTCTGTGTATCTGTTAACTTTTTAGAGTTATAAGGCACTAGAATGGCTCCAACCCCATCAGAGTTTCTTACTATTTGCACCTGTCTTTTCCCAGTAAATCCTCTCCTAATTTCAGCTGCTGCTCCTGAGTTGGCCTGCTGTACTTTCCCATGAGCACTTGTGGTTCTTTTGGGGCCTCCTGCTCTCAGGTGGGCCAGACAACATGTCACTTTCTTCTGCTGCCCTCCCTGCCTTCCCATAAGAGTCTCAAAGGTTTGGTAGCTTCTCTCACTCAGTTACTGAAAGGAGTTCTCATGGATAATTTGTCACCAAGTTTTGCAGACCTTGAGTTTTTGGCTTTGATGTAAGTGGGAACTTGAGATTTAAGTTAGCTTTCCTGCTACCATAAGTGTTTCCTTCAAACACTTTCATTTTTTGATTAAATACTTCCCAGATCCCTTAGATGTGGAAGAAACCACAGAGAGATGGTGCCCACGAAGGAGGGCAAATCAGAATGACACACATAAATACCAAATTACAGTCCTGACAAACCAAGGAGCTGAAGTTCACCAGATGACTCAGCATTTTCTGACCTCATTAGGCAGTGAGTAAAAGAAGACATTTCTCAAAATGTGTTCAACAGGAAATGAACAGAAACAAGTTAGTTCTGGTATTCCAGGCGATGTAAATTAAGAAACAGTGGGCTGAGGCAAAGCAACCATTACCTTTTTCTTTGAAACAGTATAAAACGAGGAAGTGGCAAGTTTTGTGCAAAGTTATTAAAGCAGAAATCATAAAAGAGAAATCTCAGCTCCTACATTTAACTCAGCAAATAAGTACTGACATTTAAGAAAAAAAAATAAAATGTGCTCTAATTTGCTTACCATATACCATGTGACAGTGGGCTTGACTCTGGAAGGAAAATATCCATCCACATTCGGACAAGTGATGTTCTGAATACCATATTCTATATACAGTTTATGCACTGGGAGTTTCATGGGGGAATTGAAACAGCTGTCTTTTTGAACAACTTCCAGAGGAAATGCAACTTTACTGCAATATGTAGTGTTCCTGAAAAAAGAAATATGCAATAAATAGGTAGTCTCATTTGCATTTCACTTAATATAGCAACCACATTAAAGTGAACCAAGTAGAGACTTCATTTATGTGTGTTAAGTTCCTGTAAAAACTGAATGGCTTATGGAGGCATTTCTTATGCCAATTGGTATCACAGAATAAAAATTATCAACACAGTTATCTACTGATAATGCTCTAAAATATTTACCCATGACCCTGAACATTATTGATATTAGACTTTTTAAAAAGGAGAAAGGATTAGGGATATAAAATGCCCAACCACAGGGCAGATTATGATACCCATGGTAAGCTATTGGGATTTTGTGAGAAATGTGTGGTGCCATGTGAGTGTGTTTAAATTTTTCACTTAAAAGTTTTTTAATAATACTCAGTGTTGGTGAAGCAAGGCAAGAATGGCAATATTTAAGCATAGCTCAATGGTAAAAACAGCTTGGGCAAAGTATAATTTGGTATGGAAATCTTTTTTTCAAGTGATGGAAATATGGAAAGAGGGAAATAGTTGACGACACATACCCCAAAATGTCCATCTAGTGCCATCTCAGCAATAAAACACTAGGATCAAGAGAAAATGCAAACAAAAGGAAGACTTAAAAAAAAATATGGTATAACCACTCAAAATTGTTATTGGTAACTATAAAATCAATCAAGATGAGGGGCAAAACAAACATATCATCTACTTAGAATGACTGAAATCACATAATAATATCTACACAGGTGTTTCCTCTTCTCTGTTATCCTTTATGGTATTACCTTGCATCTAGCTTAGGTCTCCTATTTATTGAGCACCTTGAACATTTCCTTGGTGACATTTATCATAATACATCGGTACAGTAGGGAGAAGGCAACAAGTGGAGAGAGGAGTGGAGAGAAAGGAGAAGTACTAGGGACTGAATTAGAGCAAATTATATTCCATGCTTTTATAATTATGTCAAAATAAATCCTTACCTTCTGTAAAAAAATAATTATTAAAAATTATCATAATATAAAACTAAATGGTTATATCATAGATATCTATCTATATCCTCTGTAAAACAAGCTCCATATGATTACTGGTATTTATTATATTCATCACATCTAGTAGTTTCTAAATTTTTAGTAAGTGATGAAAAATATTTGTTAAATGAATAAAATGGATATAAAATTTTATCTACATGGGGCTGGGGATGTGGCTCAAGCGGTAGCGCGCTACCCTGGCATGCGTGCGGCCCGGGTTCGATCTCGATCCTCAGCACCACATACCAACAAAGATGTTGTGTCCGCCGAGAACTAAAAAATAAATATTAAAAATTCTCTCTCTCTCACTCTTTCTCTCTCTCTCTCTCCTCTCTCACTCTCTCTTTAAAAAAAATTTATCTACATATAGGGAAACAAGATAGGATATATAGAATAATAAAAATAAGTGTTTAGAGTCCTTTCACTTTCCACCTTTTTTTTCATTATTTCTGGCAATAGGATCAAAGCATAGTAAACATTTGACTTATGAATTGATACTAAATACAATGAAAGAGGTGGGGCATGAATTCCCAAACATAAGAGGAGAAGTACCCAAAAACAACTTGTGACAATACTAAGAATGTGGCATAAGGGAGTGGCAGGCAGGACCTGTGCCTTGTAAAACAAAGATTCTATTGGCAGAAGCTATAAAAGGTATATTTCAATTGAATATAAAGATATATGTTCTGATTTGAATAAAAGTGATGAACAGTGGTTGGACTGACTTTTGCAATCCCCAAACTTGACTATTATTGAAGCAAGAATATAAGGTAAAATATAGTAAGATGAATCTAACTTCATGGCCTTAAAGTTATCTAGTCCTGTGAGTCCACATGGTTGGGTTGAAGGCCATTCCCAGTTTAGAAATGATCTTAGGGCAGTGAGAAGCTTTTTTTAATTTTATTAAATTTTTTTTAGATGTGGATGGACCTTTATTGTATTCATTTATTCGTATGCGGTGCCTCACACATGCCAGGCAAGCACTCTCCCACTGAGCCACAACCCCAGCCCAGTGAGAAGCTTTTAAATGCTCCCAGATGATAATTTCAATTCTCACTTTGCCGTGGAGACTTGGAAGATAGGCAGGCAGGTAATAGACAATCTTTAATTGATAAATAACATTAAAGGTATATGCATGCCTTACTGGCCAAGCAGTTCTACACTTATGATGTAAAATGGTTGGTTAGGAAAGTTTAGGGAATTGCTCTGGGCAAGCAGTGGGAAGCTAAGTAAAAAAAAATAACACAGAGACTATAGAATATCATTTAGTGGAGACCAGAGTCTTAATGGAAAACAGAAGATGACTCCATCCCAGGGATCTGCTAATGTTCACTTGGGAAATGGTAAAGGATAAACAATCATCAAAAAGGAAGAGGAGCTTAAAGAGCAGGTAGGCCAATTCTCATAATGAAGACAACAGATATAGACACAACTTGCCTACATTCATCAGCAAAGTGGTGGCAGAGCTGGAATGGCAGCCTGAATTCTCTGCCTTCTCTTCTCATGCTATTTCCAATATAATCTTTTTTAACTTATACCAAGTGGCAATGGGACATAAATAATGGGAACAGCTGACTTCCATGCTCCATGGGAACCCACTACCAATCTAAAATTCACTCCAATAAAACCACTGTCAGGTGAAAGCTCCAGAAGGGTCTTTAGAGGCCTCATAGACCCTTAGGACACAGTGATCTCGAGGCTTCTCTGCAATAGAGGACTTTTTTTAAGTAATCATAGCATAGCTTGTATTTATGAAAGCAGAGAAACACAAAAGATGAGAGAAAAAAAGATATGGGATTAGTAGTTATTATGGGCTGAATTGTGTCTCACACGCACACCAATTCATATATTGAGTTTGACTTCAGAATATGACTCTATTTGGAAACAGGGCCTTTAAAATATAAGTAAGGTAAAATGAGCTCAAAAGGGGGGGGTCAAGTGTCATATGACTAGTGTCCTTTCAGAAAGACATTAGGACATAGACATATACAGAGGGAGCCTGGTGCAAAGACATAATGTAAAGATGGCCCTATGCAAGTTAAGGAGAGAGGTGCTGTGACTCAAACCCATCCTGCCAACTCTGATCTTAGACTTCCAGCTCCAGAACTCTGAGAAAAGAAATTCCTAATGGTTAGGACACTGTCTCTGGTATTTTGTTACTGCTGCTCTGGTAAAGCAATATGCCCATTAAATAGTAGGAAATTATATTATAAGAAAAAAATGCTCCCCAGCTTGAAAAAATAAAAATGAAAGTCACGACTTAGATGAGAATTTCGAAAACAAAGTATATCAAGGTAAAAGGGACTGTCCGTAAGTAAAAGGTATCCAAAGAACTAAGCCTTGAAATTATTATTCTTTGAAGGAGTCTCAGTTTTTTTTTAAGAGTTGCCCACTCCCAAACAAAAACAACATTAATCTGCAGTAAAAGAAAAGCAGACATGTTTTAAGATAAAATCTACATAGATATTAGAGAAAAAAAATGGGTTTGATAAACATTGCAATAATGGTAGGTTTTTTAACAATAGTGTCTTAGATTCTCAGGAATGTGGTATTCACTTGCTTCCTAGGGGAATTTCAGTAGAAAAATTTAAACACTGTCTTACATACATTTGATGTTTCCTAAATATTCTTTCTTCTATAAAGGTACTCTGAATTATTCTAGGCCAGGCACTTTGAAAGATGCCAAGAATAAAAGACTCAAATGGGCTCTATTCCCAGCCTTGTTAATTTTCTAGGGAAGTGGATGCTTCCAGGTTAGGGATATGTGTTCCAATGCCAGGGGAAGGGGGCAAATAAACAAAGTTCCAAACCACCCATGGAGAATATTCCTGGAGCATGCTCATTCTCCCTGCACAACCTTCAGTCCTTCTAGGCTAAGACACTGAAGTGAAGCATAACTCTACATCCTCCCTTCCCTCGCCCAGCTTCATGGTGCATTCAACACCCGAATAAAGCCTGAGAATCAAAAGGAAGAGAGAGCAGTTGAGCTACCTTAACATGCAGGTGTAGTTGCCCGTGTCGTTGAGGAGGGTGGGCCGAAACCAGAGAACATCTTTTTCCTTACTGATGCGATTCTCAGGGAGGCGGAAGTTAATGGGCTCCTCGAGGTCCCGGTCCTGCCTAGTCCAATACCAGATCAGAGTAAGGCCAGCTGAATGGGCTGTGCTGTAGTTAAACTTCAAGAAGTGTTCAAAGAGCGGGCACTTGATGCGAGCGGGCTCATCTTCGAATACTTGGATTTGCCTCATGGTATCAAGTCCCCAGTCATCACAGCGTTCTAGAATAATCAAAAGGAAAGAAAAGGGAAGATGGGTCACTTCAAAATAAAGTCCTCCAGAGGACACACTTTCTCCTTAGGATATCCAATCTTTCTAGGAATCTCCTTCGATGGTCCCTCCAATAAATGCATATAATAAACACCACTAGTGAAAGAAATTGCTTCTTTCCATTTCTTCATTGTCTTTTGGATATCATCTGGATAAACATTTGATCTGACAGCTTGATCCTGTGAAACCCTACAAGGACTGAGGGAGATATCATCTGAAGAAGAAGTCATGTGCTTTCTCACTTCCTGGAGACAGAGAAGTCCTCAGGAAGAAACTGTAACTGATAAACTAGTTGGGAGAGAGAGAGAATTCTCTGGGCTCCCACATCTCCTGTTTGGGGGGCTGGATCTGCACTATCCAATAGAAATATAATTTTAGATACCCAGTCACCTCATGAAAGAAGCAGGTGAAATTAATGTTAATAATGTATTCTTTAGCCGTGGTATATCCAGGATATCCGAAAAAAGTTAATGAGTTATTTTACATTTGCATTCTTTTTGCAGTAGATCTTCAACATTCCATTTATTTTACACTTACATTACAACTTCACCTGGGCTAGCCATTTAGGGATCATACCGGATACAGTACTGAGCAGCGTGACTACAGACCTTAACAAGTCAAGGTCTCCTGGATGCTCACTGGGGAATAAAAGTGCTAGTGGTTCAAAGATTGAGAGTCAAACAAAATTAACAGTGTGTTTCAGGATTTATTTTTTATAATGAAAAATAATCACTCAATTCAGGAAAAAAAACACATGATAATTACTTCTTATGAGTGGAATCTGAGTGGAGGGCAAAAACAGAAGAGATTACAAGGGTAATGGGAGTCCTTTAAGCTACCCCCCCAAATTATCTTAAGATAGCTTTATTTGTTTCTTGAATCCCTTACATTCATCCTAACTTTAAGTCTTCAATACATTTCAGTTTTCCTGCTAAGTAGAATAATTGGAAAGACATACATTGTGTCATACGGTAAATGATTGTCATTTTAAAATAAAATGGTTACATCACTCCTTTAATTACACCCAACGGAATAGAGATTGCCATACAATGATGCCAAACCTAAAAATATATAAAGATGCTTTCTTTCAAGTGTAATTAATTCCATACTTCTTTTTCTCCTTAATTGTATCAATTCCACTGTCTCTACACCTAATTTCACTTCAGTGGAATATATTCTTATGTTTGACAGTCTTCAGACATTTTTTTCATCATCTTATTCTTCTAAGAATAAATAAATATATAAAGCTGTAAGTGTTAACACTCTGTTTCTTCTGGAATGAGTTTTATTATGATTTTAACATATACAATTCAAGTTAGATTTTCAGTTTTATAAGTATTTGTCAAATATAAAATTTCAGTGAAATCAGGTATTCATAATTGGATGGGTTAGTTCTAAATGAGAGGAGTTAAGTATCAGTTGAAAATTAATTGTTAATATATAAGCATCCAGGAAAATTTTCATGGCCAGAAAAAAAAATGTCACTCAATTCTTTAAATTCCTTCATTGATGTGCCCAGATTATGTATTTTAACATCAAAATTATTTTTAATGATAACTTGACAATTCTAAAAGACATAGCCTATTCAAAAAATATTTTAAAGGCCCCTTCCTTAATTCCTTCCAAAATCATCAACCTCTGCAATTTGAAACTGTGAGTCTTTCAATCAGGGAAAGTCTGTTTCCCATCCCTTGAATTTGGGCTGCCCCTTGTGACTTGTATTGGCCAACACAATGCAGCAAAAGCCATTGTGTGACAATCTGAGCCTTGGACTTTAAAGTTTTTGCTTTCTCTTGGAATCATGTCACTACTATGAGAACAAGCCCTGGAAAGCCAACTAGTAAATAAGAGTATACATGGGGTAGAGCTGAGGCAGCCCTGCTGCAGCTGGACAGCTCCAGAAGCACAGCTATCCAGTCCTTCTACAACTGACCAAAGATGCCAGAGGAAGCCCAGCCTGGATCAAACTGGGCCTGGCAACCTATGGTCTCATGAGCAAAAATACATGTGGAACAAATAAAATGAAATTTTGCCATTTAAGTTGGTGATTGTTAGGCAACATTTTTGTAGCACTAGATAATTGGTAGAACAACTAAATGGTAGTTATTTTATTTTTAATGAAGCAAAGAATTTGAATCTTTCTGACTTGAAAAAAAATGACACTTAAGTAATAAATCTCTGGGAAATGAAACAGTTTTTTCAAGACTCAACAAATTACTATTTTTTCTATGCTTTCATTAGAATTACCTTTTAAAATCCAACATATAGAGAAAACTGGGAAGATCAAAAAGTTGTTTACATCATTATACATTTGTGATACCAGTACATATTTTTAAATGAAAAAAAAAAGTCTACCTTACTACATTCATTATTTACTTTAACACTGCAAAGTTGCAGAATTAGCTCATTCAGTTTATAGAAAACATATAACCATAGGTTTTCTGATAAATATGACACTTATAAATGCATCCAATATCATTCCTTTCTGAAGCACCATTAAAACTAGAACAATTTTCATGCCAATACCAGGTAACAGCAAGAACGTGAGAAACAAACATCAAAATGGGCAAGTTGTAGCCAGTTTATCAGATTTTAGAACACATATCATAAATCTGCAGGGAAAAGCTGGAGAACGAAATGATCTACAATTCAGATGGTGAAAAGACCCAGGAACTTTCAGTACAAAGTGAGAAGTCATTAGTGCCATTCACCTATTTCTGGTTCTCCTCCCAGGTACATTATAAGATTGTACTTTTCTGAATCTCTAATGTAAGGAGAAGCTGTGTGACTTTGGCAATATGGCAAGAGTGTCACTTGTAGTAGGTGTTTTAATGTCTAGGGTATATTTACCAACTTCCTCTTTCTTCTGCTATGGCAAATATGAACACAAAAACTAAGACACCCCCAGCTTGTTCCCTGATGTTAACAGAGTAGATCTCTGTTATTAAGTCATAGATAACTTGCTTATTATTGCTGCCAATAATGTATCCTAACATGGCAGATGCAACCAGGTGCCTCAAAACCAAGGCTATGGGGAAAATGGTCAAATAAAGAGAATTGTATACAAGCTGCATCAAACCAGTTGTGTCATTTTTTTCCATTCTCATTCTTCTAGTAACAATTTTCCCCACTCAGCTCCAAGGATGAGGTTAGCTAAACTTTTACCCTCTAGACAGGGTAATTTGACCAGCTTTTAAGTAGAAAGAGCTAACAATTTTAATATCACAGATTTTTTTAACAGATTGTACAGTCATATCATCCAAGAGAAAAGCTCAAGGTTAACAAGCTTCACACCAACATTTAGAATTTCCAATCACCTTCTTAATTGCTTCTTCAATACAAACGGTTAACCCAAGAAGATGTCTTGAGAAAAAAAAAATCTACTACAAAAAGTAGTTTGGGGGGAAATAAAGAAAATTTTGAGTGAACTAAAATTATTACACAAGTATTTTTAAAAAATAGTTTTTAAAAATTATCATTAATTTCAGAGAGAAAGGAACCTACTATATTCCTGAAAGAGGAACAAGAAACTGTAATAAGGAATATTCAGAAAAACAAGGAGCTGGTTGAAACTAAAAATGATTATAAAGGTAATATAGCATATACATGCACTGTGATATAATATTATAAATGTAAAACTCAAATTGATGGTTCGTTTGGAAGTTGAGGATTCCCTAAAAGGCAGAGGAGAAAAAAAATGGAAAACAAACAGAAAAGTTATAAGAGCAGCCAGAAATTTCAACAATTCAATAGTATAAGACCCAAAGTAGGGAAAAACAGAAAAAAGAAAACTCTTGATTAAATAATCTAAAGGAATAAAAAGTCCAGACCCAAAGTATACCATTTTTTAAAATTTAAAATAATCTATTATTATACCCATTATTCCCCAGCATCAAAGAGGAAAACAGACTTACACTTTATAAATGTTTTGGCTACCAGAAAGTAAAAAGGGGTGTGGGGGCTGGCTAGAAAACACAAGATTGGAAACTAGAAAATAATGGAGCAATGCATATGAAGGAAAATTAATTCTAATCCTGAATCTAAAGCTGATGAAGTGTGAAGGTCCACCTTTTCAGAATCCTGAGGACTCACTCGTTTTATTTCCCACGTTCTCTTGATTAGATAGCTGTTGATGCATTTGTGCCACCAAAATGAGAAAATAAAGTAAGAAAGAGGAAAACACACGTTCCAGGAACAGGGAATTCAAGAGAAAGAAGGAATGATCCTCAGAATGACAGGGAAGATAACCAAGATGACAACTGTGTAGCAGACTTGGTGATGAACCAGTACAGTCGGAAGGAATAGGAATCAGCAATAAAGAGAAAATATACAGAAATAGGTAGAGTATCTGACGACATGAGTGGTGTGGAAAATTACACAGAAAGGTAACCAAAAACTATGAACATGGTTACCAAATGACACAAACTAAGTAAGGATATTGAAAAATGCAACTAATAACTTTAGAGAATAAGAAAGATAACATAATTATAATTCACTAACATATAAAGACATTAATTAAATGGTTATTGACTCTAGCAAATATGCAATAGTATTATATAGAGAAGAATGGATAGGGAATAAGGGATAGCTGTATTTACTCCTCATTTACTATAATTTTTTAAAATTTGTTTTAGTTGTATATAGATACAATACCTTTATTGTATTTATTTATTTATTTATTTGTTTATTTATTTATTTATTTATTTATTTATTTTGTAGTGCTTAGGATCAAACCCAGTGCCTCACATGTGCTAGGCAAGTGTTCTATCACTGGGCTACAACCTCAGACCCCATTTACTGTAATTTTTTAAAAGTAAAAATAAAATACTTATAGTTGAGTGAATGAAAAATAATATAAACAAATTAGTTATCAAAGTATAGATAGGAAATGTTAGAAGCAATAAATATTCAAAAGTTCTTACCTCTGAGGAGGATAGCTAGTGGGAGTCAG